CAGTATGTTCACAAATAAAATAAATTAAAAAAATAAAAATAAAAAAATAAATAGTGTAAGTTATTTTTTTTAAAAAGACACAATATTCAATTTTAGCCTCACTTTGGCTTGATGGAACAAACCAGTAATTCCTTTCTGTATTGTTGTTGTTATTATGCCAGTACTAGGCTTGAACTCAGAGCCTGGCACTGTCCCTGAGCCTCTTTGTACTCAAGATGCCCGGCTTCTGAGCTTTCTTTTGCTCAAGGCTAGCACTCTACCACTTGAACCACAGCACCACTTCTGGCATCATTTTGTATGGTCACAGGTACATAGCCCCACAACCGACCAAAAGAAATTTTTTTGGACTTTTCATTTCCTTGTGCTAATATGACATTGAACTCATTTTATCAATTGAGCTTCATTTGCAGCTTTTTTTTTGGGGGGGGGGAGAGGGAGCCAGGTCACCAATACAAGGACTCTGAACTCAGGGCCTAGGTACTCTCCCTTAGAGACTGGCACTCTACCACTTGAGTCACAGTTTCCCTTCTGGGGTTCTGGTGGTGGTTAATTGGAGATAAGAATCGCGTGGACTTTCCTGCCCTGGATGGCTTTGAATTGTAATCCTCAGAATCTCAGTTTCCTGAGTAGTTAGGACTGAAAGCATGAGCCAGCTCACTTGGGGCTTTTTGCTGGTTTTTTGGAGGGAGATAAGAGTTTGAACAAGGACAACCAAGGGCAAGTATTCTCTAGAGCAAAACTTTCTCCAGGGCCTAGATACTGTCCCTGAGATTTTTTTGCTCAAGGCTAGCACTATACCACTTGAACCACAGTGCCACTTCTGGCTTTTTCTGTTTATGTGGTACTGGCAAATTGAACCCAGGGCTTCATGAGTGCTAGGCAAGCACTCTACCACTGAGCCACATTCCCAGGCCTGTATACATTTTTAAAGGACTAGAATGGATTCCTACTGGGCACAGGAGCTATGTACCTGTATTCCCAGCTCTTAGGAGGCTGAGGCAGTGGAATCAAAAGTTGCAATCTAGCCTGAGCTACGTAGACCCTGTGTCAAAAACTTCCCAAAGACAGGGACATTTGAAGTAGAATGTCATGAAAAACAGCCTTTGAAATAAAAAAAAAGGGAGAATAGACTGGATATTTCTAATATTAAAATCAAAGCCAGATGTTGGTAATTCTCATCTCTAATCTCACCTACCGCTCAGGAGGCTAAGATCTAGAGGATTGTGGTTTGAGGTGAGTCTGAGCAGAAAAATCAGCAAAAATATTCAGCAAAAATATGGGCTTCAGGGACTGGGAAGGTGGCTCAGTGATAGAGCGCTTGCCTTGCATATATGAGGCCCTGGGTTCAATTCCTCAGCACCACATAAGCAAAAAGAAAAAAGCCGGAAGTGGCGCTGTGGCTCAAGTGGTAGAGCGCTAGCCTTGAGCTGAAGAGCTGAGGGACAGCCCCCAGGCCCAGAGTTCAGGCCCCACAACCGGACCTCTCCAAAAAAAAAAAATCAAAAAAAAATATGGGCTTCAGGCTTGACTGAGGTGAGAGAATACCAGTCAATCAAGCAAATTGAGCATGGTTTATGCTGTGAGTTCAAATCCTAGTACCACCAAAAACTATTTTTAGGTAGCATGTCTGGTACCAGGGAAACTATGAATTGGCATCTCTGATTTCAGAGTATACTATTTAGTTGATTCTAAGGAAGATTTCCCCTCACCAGTTAATATCTTTGGTTCAACCTAATAATGTTTTGTGTGTTTTTATTTGTTATTTTTTTGTCGGTTGTGGGGCCTGAACTCTGGCCTGGGCGCTGTCCTTCAGCTCTTCAGCTCAAGGCTAGAGCTCTACCACTTGAGCTACAGCGCCACTTCTGGCTTTTTTCTTTTGGCTTATGTGGTGCTGAGGAATCGAATCCAGGGCCTCATGCGTGCAAGGCAAACACTACCACTGAGCCACCTTCCCAGCCCTGCCTAATAATGAGGTTTGAGATACTTTGTCAGATCTGATAATAAAGTGTTTTGTTTTGTTTTGTTTTGTTTTTTGGGTCTGGTCGTGGGGCCTGAACTCTGGGCCTGGGCACTGTCCCTCAGTTCTACAGCTCAAGGCTGAGGAAGCACCACATAAGCAAAAAGAAAAAAGCCCGAAGTGGCACTGTGGCTCAAATGGTAGAGGGTTAGCCTTGAGCGGTAGAACTGAGGGACAGCGCCCAGGCCCAGAGTTCAGGCCCTAAGACAGACAAAAAACCCAAACTTTTTAGCAGTCCTTCAAATTACCAGGCATAAGTAACGACTTTTTAGCTTGCTTCTAAAACCAGGTTTGCACCCAGAGAAAAAGAGACCCCCCCCCCTTTTTTTTTCTGCCGCCCTCTGGCTTGAATTCAGGGCTTGGGCACTGTCCCTGAGGCTCTTTGTGTTCAACGCTAGTATTCTACCACTTGAGTCACAGTGCTACTTCCAGCTTTTTCTGAGTAGTTTATTGGGGCTTGGGGATGTGGCTTAGTGGTATAAAGTGCTTGCCTAGCATGTATGAAGCCCTGGGTTTGATTCCTCAGTACCATATAAACAGAAGCCAGAGGTGGTCTTGTGGCTCAAGTGGTAGAGTGCTATCCTTGAGCAAAAGAAGCTCAGGGACAGTGCTCAGGCCCTGAATTCAGTCCCAAGGACTAGCAAAAAAAAAAAAAAGTCTCCTGGACTTTCCTGCCCCAGCTGGCTTTGAACCACAATCCTCAAATCAGCCTCCTGAGTAGCTAGTATTACAGGTATGAGCCACCAGTGCCTGGCAAGAACATTTTTCCCCCCAGTCTTGGGGCTTGGACTCAGGGCCTGGACACTGTCCCTGAGCTGCTTTTGCTCAAGGCTAGCACTCTACCACTTGAGTCACAGCTCCACTTTGGCCTTTTCTGTTTATTGGAACTTTGGAATTGAACCCAGGGCTTCATGTATGCTAGGCAAGCACTCTGTCACTAAGCCACACTCCCAGCCCCAAGTAGAACTTTATTTTTATTTTTTGTGGGTTGTGGGGCTTGAACTCTGGGCCTAGGCACGATCCCTGAGCTCTTCGGCCCAAGGCTAATGCTCTACCACTTTGGGCTACAACACCACTTCTGGTTTTCTGGTGTTTAATAGGAGAGGACGACACTCACAAACTTTCATTCCCAGGCTGGCTTTGAACTGTGATCCTCAGCTCTCAGCCTCCTGAGTAGTGCCACCAGCGCCTGGCAAGGAGAACATTTTGTAAAAGATGGTGTGTGTGTGTGTGTGTGTGTGTGTGTGTGTGAATACTGGGTCTTGAACTCAGAGTCAGAGCTGGGGGTACTATCCCTTAGCTTTTTCATTCAGGGCTGACACTCTACCTCTTGAGCCACAGCTCCACTTCTGGCTTTTTGGAGGTTAGTTGGAGGTAAGAGTCCCACAGACTTTCTGGCCTTGAATCCTGGATACTCAGATCTCAGCCTCCTAGTAAGATTACAGGTGTGAACCACTGGCACCTGGATCAGCACCTGGCTTTTTTTTTTTTTTTTGGGTCCGGTAGTGGGCCCTGAACTCTGGGCCTGGGCGCTGTCCCTCAGCTCTTCAGCTCAAGGCTAGCACTCTACCACTGGAGCCACAGCGCCACTTCTGGCTCTTTTCTTTTTGCTTATGTGGTGCTGAGGAATTGAACCCAGGGCCTCATGCATGCAAGGCAAGTGCTCTACCACTAAGCCACCTTCCCAGCCCCTCTTTTTGCCTTTTTCAAGTCAGCGTCTCATATTTTTTTCCATGTGGTCTCAGGTCTTCATCTTCCTATTTCCTTCCTATCTGCCTCCTGAGTAGTTGAAATTACAGGAATGGACAACCATACCCTAGCCCCCAAACTTTCACTTTTTAAGATTACCCCATACTCTTTTCCCTCTCACCCACCATGTGGTTTCTTCAGGATCCTTTTTCAACTTTAAAAGCCTTCACTTCCATCCTCTCTGGCCTGTGTGCTGCCTATCTACAGTACTCTTCCAGAGCCTACTGTGAATATGTTCCTTTTGCTCAGTCTACAAATGCTTTCTACATCTTGTGGGGTTTTTTTTTGTTTGTTTTTGTCTGTTATGGGGCTTGAACTCTGAGCCTGAGCGCTGTCTCTCAGCTTTTCTGCACAAGGCGAGCACTCTACCACTTAACCCAAAGTGCCACTTCTGGTTTTCTGGTAGTTAATTGGAGATGAGTCTCATGGACTTTTCTGCCCAGCGCCCAGGCTGGCTTTGAACGGCAGTCCTCAGATCTCAGCCTCCTGAGGAGGATTACAGGTCTGAGCCTCCAGTGCCCCGTTTCTTGCCTTTTCTTTCTTTCTTTTTTTTTTTAAATGGTGTCACTACTGAGGCTTGAACTCAGGGCCTCAAGCTCTTGCTTAGTTAACATTTTCTGTTCAAGACTGGCCCTCTCCCACTTGAGCCATGACTTCCTTTCTGGCATTTTGCTAGCTAATTGGAGTCTCTTGGGATTTGTTTGCCTCAGCTGACTTCAAACCTGAATTCCGCCCTGGGAAGTTGGCTCAGTGGTAGAGCGCTTGCCTTGCATGCCTGAGGCCCTGGTTTTGATTCCTCAGCACCACATATGCAAAAAGAAAAAAGCTGGAAGTGGCGCTGTGGCTCAAGTGGTAGAGCATTAGCCTTGAGCTGAAGAGCTGAGGGACAGCGCCCAGGCCCAGAGTTCAGGCCCCACGACCGGACCCCCCCAAAACAAACAAACAAACAAACAAACCTGAATTCTCAGATGTCAGCCTCCTGAGTAGCTAGGATTAATAGGCATGAGCCACTGGCGCCTGGATTAAGAAAAAACATTTTTTAAAGGGCTGTCAAGTAGGAAACGGTTTCTGTTGCTCTGAGCAGCCTAACTACCAGCGATGGAAGAAGAAAAAGGGAAGCAGATTTCGCTAGCAGGAGGCGGAACTTTGGGACCCAGGGCTCTGCCCAACAGTAGAGCGGGGTGCAGCCGCTGGGTGGTGGCGGAGTGGACGCAGAAGTCGGCGGACCTCCGACTCCACGGGGACCTCAGGGGAGTCCTGCCTGGGCGGAAGCGGGCCCGGACACCTCTGGACAGGTGTCTCCCACGCGAAGGTCTGTACCTCTGCTAACTTTACCTCCGAGCACATCGAGTTATTTAACTAATTATTAGATGCACCGCCCAGGGGAGGGTCAAGTTTACAACAAGTAACATTTGATAAGAAGAGAGTTAGGAAAGCAGGTTTCAGAGCATCTACGCGGCACCCAAACCAGTTATCCGACTGGGGTCGGGGCGAGGCGCGCGCGCGTGAGTCCTTAGGACAACGTCCCGGGCAAGCCAGAGTCTCGATTTTCATTTTACACGTAATTGTTCCGGCAGTTTTCCACGCGTGGCACCGCCGAGGGCGGGGAGGGGTGCCGGAGGCGACCCGCTCGGACTCGCTGCCCGGAATCCGTGGGCCGCCGCCCGCCGGACCACCGATCCCAGGGGCCCCCGCG